TAAGAGACTAGATTTTATCATATAGACTTTAACAAGAAAAATAAAACTTGATTCTAATGAACCTACCTTGACCAACTGCCCCCTTTTTATCTAACCTCTTCCCTACTGCTCATTTTGTCCTCCTCATTTAACCCCGCTTCGATCTTTCCACTGACCCCAGGGAGTCGGTTGCGCCCGCTTTGGAAATTCCAGTCGTAAACTATTTGAGTTAGGTGAGTAGGTTGACTAAGTATGTATATCATGTGTATATTTATGTATTTCTTCTCCTCAGGATATAGGCGATCGTGGCTCTCCACTACCTCTTGTCTTTTGTTACTATGAGGTATTTTAACACTCTACCAACCTTCTTTTTCCTTGTTCTCCCTTCCATTCATACAGACTCGTTCGGTAGGCGACTCGCTGTTTTATCCCCGTTTCACTTGCCTTCATTAACTCCTGTGAGTGTTGAATTCACTTAGTCCTCTTTCCTCATTATGTGTTCTGGAAATATCAACTCTTTCTGATTCCTTGTTGCTCACGATTTATCCATGGTATTCTTAGCATTCGTCAGTTGAACCACATCGTTTCACTTCATTTTTTCATCTTGTCCGGCAGTCATTGCCATATAAGATACTAGCAGTAGAGCCCGGCGTTGCCCGGGGATGTAACAATAAGAGATAAATCAAGTATTGGCCATCATAAAGACTGAAAAATAAAATTGACAAAGATTATTGTTTAAGGTTGACGGACACGCATGTCTTAATTAGTTTTTTTTTTCCTTTACGAATTGGTCAAACCCAAACTCAAACAAAAGCATTGTTTTCAATCATTATGAGTCTACCGATTGAATAGAATTTTATTATAAACAATTGTCTTGTAAATGGAATTTTTAAAGCATTCTGAATGTAAAAATAAAGAAAAAAGTGTGCAAGACTATAAGAAACACTACCTGCCAAAAAAAAGTGAAGTTTTGTTGAAATCGGTTGAAATATGTAGGAAATCCGATCCCATATATAAAGGAACACACACACACACAAACAACCTGGGTTTTATAATAAGTATAACTCGATATGAGTTGTCCCCCTTTCATTCCCACGATGCCTCTTAATCGTGTTTTCAAATTGATTTCATGCAAAAACAATTGTGTTTTTCCAATTTTTATGCTGTCAGAACCACCGCAAGGTAATTTTACGTAGTCCTGTGAAGTTTTGTTGAAATCAGTTGAAAAATGTAGGAAATCCGATCCAATATATAAACGTACACACACACACACAGACACACACAACCTGGGTTTTATAATAAGTATGATTTAACAATATACATACACGGTATGGTGGATGTTGATTCGTGACTGGATAAGATCACCTCTAAGACACAACTTTCATACGAGCAATTCAGGGATGATTTTCATGTCTTTGATGACGTCTTAAATAGCTTATAAGACCTGCAAATGAACTGCATGTCATTCCGCGTTGAGTAGGGGCAAGTCTTTCGACAGCAATCTGATTATCTGGATGTTTAGTCCTCTGGATGACCTAAACATTTTGTTGCAAATGCTGAACGAAAAGTCTTGCTGGGTATCATATTGGTAAATGGGAGTGTTTCTGTTTCCATGTCTGTGGGCGAAGAGACCTGCCCTCGAGAAGCAAATACAGCCATATGCATACATATATAGTTATTTGTATGATGACTGCTATATCATTGTAAGACTTAGTTGTGTTTTGAACGGATATGGCTCTTTTAGCGGGACGGGAACTTTTTAACTTTTAAATCCTCTAGCAAGCCTCAATCGCTTATGATTGCTTTTTTAAGGCTAAGCCAGACATTCAGTATGCAAAAAGATCATTCGATAACGTTCTCACAATTACACTCGGTTTTCCTAGGTGGATAGCCTAACGAAGGCTAAGGTAAGTTTACTGCGGGCCTGGACACGTCACTAACCCAGGTATTTTTACATTCACACGCCTGTGCTAGATGACCATAGCTGTCATGAAAAGACTCATCTGCGATTTGACTTGTTCTTAATCCTGTTGGGTGTCTAACCACCCGAATCACCAGAAAAGCTTGGTGGGGGAACCAGTTTTCGAGTGAGGTCACTCTCAAGCTCTGCTGGTTCTATGTAACCCTGTCACATGATTATTAGCAACATACATACATACACACACACACACACATATATACATATATATATTAGGAAATGGACAAATTCCGACAATTATTTTTTAAAAATAAAATAAAAAGAACATATAAACATAAAAATGTCTTAAATATATTTTTAAAAAAATCCGCATTACAACCAAAAACGTTTGCGGTTTCTCTCTTCTTTTTAATATATACACTTTTCTCTCGTTGGAACAACTATACCCTCTTCCTTTTATATATATATATATATATATATATATATATATATATATATATATATATATATATATATATATATAAGAACTTACGTATCAAAATTAGATTAGTCATTTTAAAAAAGATATTTTCGAACTTTTACATCTTCTTGGTCGAGTGGTTGGATGGTTCGCTTTCGAACCATGAGGCCGGCGTTCGAATCTCATCATGTGATCTATCAGGAAGATGACTTCTTGATGCTATCAACCGGGGAAGCGATCGCAGCCTATGGCACGTTAGGACAGTGTCTGAAAACCACCTCGGTTAACCCAAGCCTTGTGATTGAAATAGACGGAATAATTCGTTGATGGTTGTGCTGGCACGAAGTCACAAGTCATCGTGGCCGAGAGTTTGAGTGTGCTGGCCTTCTTCCGCGTATTGATCATGCCAGATGATGTGCTTTCTACAAAGAAACGTAACTAGGATACGCTCATGATAGTTTAAATAACATTGTTTGTTGTGTGCGCGTTGAGCAAACATAAATGTGCTTGAGCAAGCGAATACAACGGGAATTACCTAGTCGACCCAGCAATAAGGCATATTCGGAAAATGGCGACCAGCCATTACACATCCGACTTAGACTATTTACATGGTTTGAACTGTTGTCCTAATCTTTATTTTGATAACGTTTCTGCCGTACGCACTTTCTTTAGGTGATATTCGTTATCTAAGTAAATTGCGAACCTAAGCCTTTATTTAGTCCACTAGAGTAGGTTGTTCTAGTTCCATTAACTCCTGTGAGTGTTGAAATCTCTTACTCCTTTTTCCTCATTATGTGTTCTGGAAATATCAACTGTCTCTGTCCTCATTGCTCACGATTTATCCATGGAATTATTCGCATTCGTCAGTTGAACCACATCGTTTCACTTCATTTTTTTCATCTTGTCCGGCATTCATTGCCATATAAGGTATTTAACAATATGCATACACAGTATGGTGGATGTCGACTCGTGACTGGATAAGATCACCTCTAAGACACATAACTTCCAAACGAGCAATTCAGGGATGATTTACATGCCTTTGATGATGGATGATCTCAGTTTCATTTAGTTTCTTTTAGTAACTCAACTTTCCAAGGTTTTGTTTTACCTCCGCTGTGGTCAGGTAATGAACTTGCAACTCTTTGGGTGAAGTCACTGGATTACCTTAACCAACGCTTTTATCTACGTGTCGTTGGAGGGGAAAAACTAGGAGTTGATTTATTAAAGGGAAATAACTGAAACTAAGATATCCAGAAAAGGCATGGCATGTGGAACTAGACCAATCTACTCCAGTGGACTAAATAGAAGGTTTGGCTCGAAATTCCAACGTATATCGCTTGAAGAAGACCGGAGCATACAGTGTCCGAAACGTCGTGAATATGACAATAAAGAAGTGGACAAGAGTCCGAACAATGTAAATAGTGTAAATAGATACAATACCTCGTATCAGAAATATACAGGGTGCGATGGGTAAATTGTCGCTATTTTATATTTTTAATTTCGCGCATGCGCGTTGCTTGTTTTTGATTTTGTTGACTGCACAGTATAATAGGGTCAGTTGGGCAATGTCTGTGAGAAAAAGAGCACCATGACAAAATTCACTCCGCCAGAAATTTGAAAACAGTATGCTGTATTGCTTGTCATTCGCACCGGAAGCCCCAATAGGAACATTACAAGGTGTTTGGGTGTCAATCTGAGGACAGTGCAGAGGATTCGGAAGGAGTTGGGTGAGTCTAATGATGATTACGAAGGTACGGCAGCTCGGAAAACTCACTCTGATCGTTCTGATAAGAAAAGAACTCCCGAATTTGTTAGTGAGGGGCTCAGACTCAACACGGAGAACTACATCAAGTCCCTTGAGGATGTAGTGAATATCTGGATCAACAGCATGGCTGCCGGGAAAACCTTTTGTCTGGCAACGGGACTCTGCACCATGCCACACAAGCAAGAGAACCCAGTCATGGCTGTCAGCTAATATTTGCGACCACATCACTCCTTACATCTAGTCACCTAACACCCCAGACTGCAACCCCCACTTTATTTTTTATGTGTGTGGGGGGGGTGGTTGAGCCCGACAAAACCTCTTGTAACACCAAAGATGAACCAAGATAGACAAGAAGACCGTTCAGAAGAATTGCAGGAGATTCTGAAGTTGTCTGGAGGCCGAGGTTGAATCCAATGGTGATTTTATTGAATAAATTTACTCTTTTGTATTTCAATATATTTATGTGTGATTCTGGTAAATATATCTGTTAAAATGAGATGTCAACATTTTTTGTCCCCCCCACCTCGTAATTTAGACGACAATTTATCCATCGCGCCCTGTAGAGGGATTATAAATCCTGTCTTTTGTATTAATTTCTGAAACTTGTATTAAATGCACAACAAAAAAATGACTAATACTAGAATTAGTTGTCGAAAGTGCTCATGAAATCCAGCGTTCTGTCGATAGGGCCGAGGTTTGCTTCAAAATTAAACCATACAGCTCTCCTATCAGATTGTAAATATCAAATTGAGGGTAAATAACTCCTCTCACTTCCCCTTCTTCTACAAGTATTATAACTTTTTTTTATTATTTTTATCGTCGCTGAGGGGGCACCCCACCACGTCTTTTCCTCGTCACGTGTATTTTGATTTAGCATTATGAGACCACCACCTGTTCTTTTTCTTTTCTTCTTCGCCGTGTTTCTTGCTTCCACAGCGCCATGTCCCGTCCGACCGGCCTTGTCACTCACCAATTCGCGTCCAAATCGACCCTCGCCAACTTGTCACCTTCTCAAAATAAATAAATCATTCTACTATTGTCTGTAGTTTTTCTCATTGGCTAACGTCGCCATTTCAGCTGTTGACTGCCAAATAGTTGGTAAGATTTTATAAGTATTAGAGAATTTTTTTTTGAAATCTGATCTCATTGTCGGATTAATTTATATATGTACCAGTGTGTCAGTGTGTGTATGTCTCTATGAGTATCTATGTGTTATGGTCCAGGTTAGGACCAAGGAAGAACAACACGAACACAAGAGTAGAAATAACGAAAGTATATTACAAGAAATAATAATACAAGATGTGGAAGTTGTTAGTATGACTGTCAGTCTGGTTCGGAGTGAACAACTATCGGCTCGACTTGATTCGGTATCTAGCCCCCCACCCACACACATACGAGGGTCGCATGTGGTATAAGGCCGAGTTTAACGTGGGGTTCCCGAGCCCGTAGGCTCGACAAAAAATGCTCGTAGAACCCGTATAAACGGGATCGGGTTGGTCAACCTCCCCGAATGAGACTCTGCCCTTCGGCGGAGCCTCGTCCGGGTTCATCTCTGCTCAGAGGCAGAGAGTTCGACCGTCAAGCCGAGAAGCTCGGCTTGACCCGTCCCTCTCTCTTGAGAGGCGTAGTATAGATAGTGTTAGGAAGAGTTCATTCTGTAGTTATAGGTAAGGACCCATGACACTATGTAAGCATTTAATTTACGTTTCATTTGTGCATATTGGTAAATATATAAGGAAATCCGTAGCTACCGCCTGCATTCGGATAGAAAGCGAGTTGAGCAAGTAAACAAAACTAGAAAGAGTAGGATGTGAGTTATGTTGTAATAGTTATCGGCTCGGAAAGAGAAATCGGGAGAACGGAGTTCGAATTTCAGTTGGGTTTATTATGTTCACTTACGCACAAATACACTTGGGAAAGATGGTATGAATCCACTTCTTCCGTTCTCAGCTATGGGCTGAATAGCAGGACTGACTGAGTTCTATATCCTTGGTTCGCAACCAATTTACCGCAGAAAGAAACGGCAGCTTCCGGCGGGAAAATCTTCTGCCTCGTCAGTCATGAATTGAAAGGGAAATGATCGCCCCACGTTTGGCACACTTAACTAACCGAGTAAGACCTACCATGTTTTATTTTCGGCGGACACCATATTTTTGTAACAAAATTAGCCCAATACAAGGTACAGTAATCACTCAATGATTTAGGGCTACCGTTGAAATGGTTATGATGGATTATGATATGAGTGTAAAAGTTTGGGGTATGAAGAGAATTTCTTTTTTATGATGTCGTGGTCATCAAGCTGGTTCAGCAAACAATTGCAAAGGAGATCAGCAGCCCTTTCTGTGTGCTTCATTTTTACAGCCTTGTGCCAGTCTAAAGCTTATTTATCTATCAGTGCTGATGAGTAAAAAGATAGATAGGTATAGATTTTTACTTATGAAGTGTGGAGAAATATAAAGAAGTCCTCCAAATATGGGCGCCTCACTCGCCTAACCTAAGCGAACCACAGGCGCGCACCCTCCACCACACACGGATCAACAGATATGGGTACCCCCGCTTTACCAATATATACAATCATTTTGACCACACCTGGTTATATATGGCTATTAGCTTTTCCCTCTATTGACTTTCAAAACCCGGAGTATTGTTCACAAACAAAAACAGCGTGATACAATGAACTACCACAAGCAGTATCTTACTACGTACTCTGGGCATTAGTGTGAAAGCTATGAGATTTAAGGTTCAGCAGTGGAATTCGGCGGGTAAAGTAGAATCGTCGAGCCGAGTTCAAATCCCGACCTAGTCTGTGTCATTCATTTTCGCAGTAATACCCGTAAGAAGGGTATGAATCTATCTATTTTCACCCACTACCGGCGATGGGTTAATTAGCAGGGTACGGTGGTCTTTCTCGATTTGGGTAGCAACCAGCTTAAGAGAAGGAAAACTCCACACTCCAGGCTGTGGGGTAGGCATCGGGAATCCACTACAGTATCTTGGTAGCATAGAAATTTACATATGAACACATCCTCCCCCCCCCAAAAAAAAATCAACCAAAAAACAAAAAGAAAAAACAGAGCTATTCATGATGTCCTGATATGCACTGTGCAAGTATCGGAAGCTACAAGCGTTTTTTTGTAAAGTAAATATATGACTCGAACCCAGTATATAAATAAATTATACTGTGGAAACCGTGTATATATAATTATGTAACAATTGATAAAAAATGAAATCGCTGAGCTCTAACTTTAGATTGTAATGTTCTTTCTCTTAAGTCATTTGATAGAAATGAACTCACTGACCAAAAACCTGCTATCATGGTACAGAGTTACATAATTAATCTATCTATCTATCTATCTATCTATCTATCTATCTATCTATCTGTCTAGTTCTCTGTCCCTATCTATCTATCTATCTATCTATCTATTCCTTCCTATATATCTATCTCGTTCTCTGTTCCTATCTATCTATCTGTTCCTTCCTATATATCTATCTGGTTCTCTGTTCCTATCTATCTATATATCTGTCTAGTTCTCTGTTCCTTCCTATATATCTATCTAGTTCCCTGTTCCTATCTATCTATCTATCTATCTATCTATCTATCTATCTATCTATCTATATATCTATCTAGTTCTCTGTTCCTTCCTTCCTATCTATCTATCTATCTATCTATCTATCTATCTATCTATCTATCTATCTAGTTCTCTGTTCCTTCCTATATATCTATCTAGTTCTCTGTTCCTATCTATCTATCTATCTATCTATCTATCTATGCGTGCGTGCGTGTATATAAATAGATTCTTTATAAACAAGTTTGTTTTATTTATAGCTGAATGAAGTCAACCTTGCCAGAGGCCAGGTATTACACAATAAAACAAGCAACTACGGTTTTCCAAGGGCCTCTAAAACTTGCTATATGTCAGATATAAAGTAACTCAATGTTAGTCACGCGGGTAAATGACTGGCCGTCGACGTCACACAGAAGAGTTAATTAAATGCAATCTATAAACATAATTGTTCGTTTATAAAGCTAACTTTGTTGAAATCCGGAAAAAATTTCACAAAAGCTAGGATCATCGAAAAATACTATCTCCTATATATATATATATATATATATATATATATATATATATATATGAATAAAAAGACTATTCTTAGCCAACGCGTTTCAGCCTCTGGGGAACGTTAACAAGGCACATTTGCCTTGATAAAATCCCCCAGATGACGAAACGCGTCGGCTAAAAATATTTTTTTCCTTAAAAGATACACTCTATCTGAAAATAGATATTATTCTTGCATTCGTACAAGTAGACACACACACACACATATATATATATATATATATATATATATATATATATAAAGACACACACAGACGTACATGTATACATCCATACACACACACACACACATATATATATATATATGTGTGTGTGTGTGTGTGTGTATGTATAGTTACCATATATGGGCTTCGAAAGATCTTAATAAGGGTTACTATTCTTTAGTTGGTTAGTGGCTGAGCTGTCTAACATCTTGGCGGTCTAAACGATGGTTATTCCCATATAAGAGGGTCGCAAGTTTGAACCCTGCCGAAGAGTACATTTACTTTATTCGGACACCGTTGGCTGGTAAACGTCTGTTACCCTGCCACCCACCCAATATATAAATAGAGATGTCTACTCAACACGTCTATCCACTAAACATAACGTTTATAGTAATGATAAATAATGTCAGATTAAAGATTCATTAAGTCCTAAGAAATTTCCTTTTTATGTTTCGAATATGAAAATAAACTTAGCAGATATAGACTTTGAAAGATCTAAACGGCATATCAACATCCTATGGGTTATTTAATGCCGAAATTTAATTTTCTTGGGAGCTTTTGAGTAATAAAAATATGTTATTATGCTGTCACAATTTAGTACATGGTAGATGATACTCAGCTTTTGTGCATATACATGTTCGTGTGGATATGATTACTAGAGGCGGTGATATGTGTGTTTTATGTCGTAAGTTATATTTTGGAAAAATAGTTTGATTTCTTTAAGAGATTGTAAGATATTATATGGATTAATGTCGTGAAAGCGTTCTTTCTTGTTCGTTGTTTGGTTGATTTTGTTTAGCCGCATATCAACCCCTATGGGTTATTTAATGCTGAAATGTAGATATTTTGAACGCAAATTCATGCCTTCAACAATAGATAAAATGTATTGTTGGTAATTTTACTATAAAATGTATTGTTTGTCAATTTATTATAAATGCGTATTGTTGGTAATTTTATTATAAAAATGCATTGTTATATTTTTATAGTATTTTGTTTTTGTTTGCGGGGTTTTCTATTTGCTCATAGCTGGGACCCTAACAGGTACTACCACCCCAAGTCAGAGTGGACCTGAGAATAATAGCAATTAAGGTGGTTCCAAGTTCATCAAAACCTTCAATCCCACCTCCATCAGCGGTGTTGCTGCCGGATGTAGTTTATCGTCATACCCACGACTAGCCTTGCTTAGATCTATCTATCTATCTATCTATCTATCTATCTATCTATCTCTCTCTCTCTCTATATATATATATATCTTCAAAAATTACGCTTAACTTCGAGAAATTAAGAAAAAGAAAGTACTTTAGATTCTTTACATTATTTTCATTATTCGGACTGTTATCTTCATCTTCATTGCCATATTCAGAACGTTTCGGCCGTTGTACACTCCGACCTTCTTCAGGTGATTGGAATTTCGAATCGAACCCTTTATTTCATCTACCAAAGTAGATTATTCTAGTTCCACATGCCACACCTCTTCTGGATGTCTCAGTTATTTCCCTCAACTGTCTAAGTTTTGGTTCACCACTGCTGTAGCCTGGTATTGAACTCACAGTTCTTTTTGGGTCTAGTCACTGGATCTAACCAACGCCATTATCCACTGGACCATAAAGACCCTAATCCAGAGAAGGGTCTGTAATACAATCGATCCTGACCAGGCATCTCGTCTCCATTCACTTTCTCAGCGATGTGACATGGCTTCCCTCTGACCGTTCCGCAAATATTTTCATGGCATCTGCTATGAAGAACTCTTTTCTCCCCTGCTGCTCCATCTCCATGAATTAAAGAGTGCTACTAGATTGGTAATTAGGTCTCATAGTTTTACTGTTGAAATAGCTTCCCTGATGAATAAAATTTTCAAAAATTTAAATGCAACGTCAATCGCCATCTTCTGTCTTCTTGAAATCTGTTTCTTTTTTTGTCCTTCCCACGGTCCTCCAATTTCTCAGTTTTTTCTTTCATTTTCACTTTCACTTTCACTTCCTGTAGCCCCCTGCTTTCTAGTGGCATTTTGCTTGGGATAAAACGATTAAAAAAAATGTCTTTCTTTTACACGAAATAGAAGAAACACTAATGGCTGACACGAATGTATTAGTAATGAGCTGTGTAGCTTCATCGATTCGGAAAGATAAATTGTGAAACGTGTTTGAATTCAGACCGTGTTTATTACGTTGACTTTTGTTCAAATACCACTGGGAAACGTATGAATCCATCTTTCCCAAAGTTATGGGTTAAATAACAGAAATGAATAACCTTCTCTACAATTATTATTGAAACATGGGCTCGTCCATTCGCTAAGGGTAGAACGTCTGCTCATGGAACAGTGGTAAACAGTGGGTCGCCAAAAGCGTATAGTTTTTCAGTTTATCGCACTGAACTAGTCCATGTTGGCATGTGACTAAACGCTTCTTTACTCAACCTTTTGTTTCCAGTGTTTTCCTTACAGTCTTACTAACAGCTACTAGTAAAGCGTTATATGAACTTAAATAAGTGCTCATTGGGTGGCTTAGTGGTTAGAACGTTCAAATTCTGACCATAAGACCCGGGTTTGAATCTCACTATGGTCGATTTGTCAGGAATGTTATCGGACTGGTCTGTCACCTTTGGAAACCTTACCAAGGGTTGGCCCAAACCTTTTGAGTGAAATTGGGTAGATGGAACTTTTGGGTGCCGTCAATAGCTGTGCTAACACGAAGCCACAAGTCATCGTGGCCGAGGGCTTGAGCGTGCTGGCCTTGTTCAAATTTTTGATCACGCTAGATAACACGCTCTTTCCCAGAAACTGTAAGTAAGGTCTGCTCAGCATAGTTGCAGTATAAATCACAGGTGAGCTCTGTGGGTGTGAATAAACACAAATGCGCCTGAGCAAGCGTCTGAAATAAGGATTGGCTAGCCGTCCTAGTAGAGAGGTATCCTCGTATACGAGTGGCCAGCTATACAATACAATATACAACAAGTGCTTACTGTGTTCTCTTGTCTTGAGGTGACAACCAGTCTAGGAGAAGGAAAACACTGAATTCAAGACTAACCTGAAGAGGGATGGGATCCATCAAGATATCTGCTTCTAGACGCACAGCTGCAATAATGTCTGTGGTACGCATGATGCCCCTACGACCCTAATGAGCTACGGGACTCGTGATATAACCTGATTATGATTTTTAAAGCGCCAATATTAGCATTGTGTTTGTTCCGACACACCTTTTTCTACAGCCAGATATACACAGAAGACGAGGGATTCCTTTCCTTTGTTCAACACTGGGATGTGTGGGTGGTGTAATGGATAGCGCCTCGGTCGGAGAAGTCTGATATCAGAGTTCGAATTCCGGTCGGTCTCGCTATATTTACTTATGTACAAATATTCTTGCGAAAGGTAGGAATCCATCATCTCCCCCCAGCTACGGATCAAATAGTTGGACTTGTATTGTTTTTAAAAAAAAACATAATGCTATATCCATTCGCAAAAAAGGAAAATTATTCTTACAATCCAAAATGTTTCGGCTTTAAATAACCCACAAAGGGTTGATAAACCGTAAAAAACAAATCTATCTTTTAGATTGGTATTTGTACAAGGCACAGCAAAATTGGGTGTAACAGGCAAAAAGAAACTCGATTTTAAAATAGACGTAGCTGTCTTTTTGAATTCTGACAAAAAAATGCACCTCAGAAATAAAATCTTCTCCGAAGAGGTATATACGACTTGAAACAAATGCTTTATTTAGGTGAACGAAATTGTTAATCTTCATCCCAGTGGCAATGCCGTGATCAGGACGCCGCCCATTTGTCGAATCTCTTCCTAGAAATCTTTCTATTTAGTATTACTCACAAATATTTGAGTAAACATTAATATTTACTTTATGTATATGTTCATTCCGCTCCATTTCTGTTCATCTGGTCTTGTGCCGTATTAAGCTAACCATAGTAAATCTCTCTCTCTCTGTATATATATATATATATATATATATATATATATATATATATATATATATATATATATATATATATAGAGAGAGAGAGAGAGAGAGAGAGAAGAGAGAGAGAAGAGGGTGACGAGGGAAAAATAGAAAAGAGAGAAAAAAAGCAATCGAACGAAAGAATGTCGGAGCAGACATTCCTTAAAGTAAAAGCGAGATTTTGAAAGCCCGTGGCACGATTTAGGCCACATTCGACCGTCAGTACGTGGGTGGCGCGCGCGATCTTTTTTTGGTAAGTGCATTTGCATTGTTCATCTACCTATTAGTAATGTAGTTTGACTAGGGAACGGTCGGGTGGTTCGTCAGTGCTCCACGGCCCACCGTTGTTTGTAAATTCATATGTTAGTCAAAAGCTTTCAATGGCTTGTTTGGTAATCACTCAAAGTGGCTTTGCATATTTTTCACGTACACTACAATCAATCAACCGATCCATGTAAATCTATATATCTCATTCCGTTCATATCTATCTATCTATCTATCTATCTATCTATCTATCTATCTATCTATCTATGTCATTCTGTTCATATCTATCTATCTATCTATCTATCTATCTATCTATCTATCTATCTATCTATCTCATTCTTTTCATTATCTATCTATCTATCTATCTATCTATCTATCTATCTATCTATCTATCTATCTATGTCATTCTGTTCATATCTATGTCATTCTGTTCATATCTATCTATCTCATTCTGTTCCTATCTATCTATCTATCTATCTATCTATCTATCTATCTATCTATCTATCTCATTATTTTCATTGTCTATCTATCTATCTAATTTTCTTCATTATGTATCTATCTATCTATCTATCTCATTCTATTCATATCTATCTATCTATCTATCTATCTATCTATCTATCTATCTATCTATCTTATCCCGTTCATTCTATTCATATCTATCTATCTATCTATCTATCTATCTATCTAATTTTCTTCATTATGTATCTATCTATCTATCTCATTCTGTTCATATCTATCTATCTATCTATCTATCTATCTATCTATCTATCTATCTATCAATCAATCACATTCTGTTCATATCTATTGATGGTATGGACAGAATAGCTGCGCTGACATTATAGATATAGTTATGTATGAGATGTGACTATTCTGTGACACTATGAGTTTGGACAATATCAATAGCTATGTTTTGTGCTGCATTACTCCAATCGTTTCTTTTCTTCACATTCATCCCTTTTCATTTTATGCGTACGTTTACATCTGATTGTAAAGCTCTATTTCTTCTCTCTTGCTTGTTTCGACATTCTTTGTCTTTTGTGTTTTTTTTTTTAAATAGTGTATCGAAGGAAATATAAATAAACACGATTTTCTTGTCATTATGCTCTGTGAATTAAAACTCAGCCATTGTGCTGCTTAAGTTACCCACAAAATCAACATTTCTTAGCAGCTGGAGTCAGTTTCAGAACAGACTGTGCGTCGTTACTTCAAAATTACTTTCATGGGATCTGGATCTTCACATTGGATGTGGCCATCAGTCATCACTAGGCCAGTACTGAATACAGCAGTGGTGACTCATCAGAAAAAAAAAAAACATACAACAAGATAATAGAAGAATACGCAGAAGTGGATTTGCCTGAAAATCTACGGTTTCCACATTTTGACGGGGCAATTTCTTTCATTTAGGCATTTAAAAAGCCCTTCTTCTTGACTGTGTGTTGACAAAAAAATGATTCCCGTATGATAAGGTCAAATATTCACTCTCAAAATATTCCCTTCACCGTCTGCTGGTGCTGTAATGTCGAAAACCATGAGAGTCTCTAGTAATCTAGTTAAACCATCAAAACAGAAACGTATTGTGATTTGGAACTGATACATAATATATGAAAAAGTAAAAGCAAAACTTTTCGTTTTCATCCCATATATATATATATATATATATATATATATATATATATATATATATATATATATATGGGATGAAAAGTTTTTTTACTTTTTTTGCTTTTTTATATATATATATATATATATATATATATATATATATATATATATATATATATATATATATTTATATTTATTTATATATACATATATATATTATATATATATATATATATATATATATTATATATATATATATATATATATATTATTATATATATATATATATATATTAATATATATATATATATATATTATATATATATATATATATATATATATATATATATATATATATATATATAAAATAAGTAGGAGGATTTGATAAACATAAATATATATATATATATATATATATAAATATATATATATATATAAATATATATATATATATATAT